CAAAGATGAAAATAAAAAATTGGGGAAGAGGGAAATAAGATAAAAGACAAGAAGGCGAAAAGAAAGAGAAGGGGGATTGAAGAGGAAAAGGATTAAAAAGGGACCATCTGGAACGTAGGAATAACAACGGGTTTAACCTTCCACCATGCTTATAGCTTTTCTCCATTTTGTCCTAAGACATATCATCCGTCAATCTATATCCCACTCTATTAAGTCTTGTTTAACTACCTTTCCCCAGGTAAGTTTCGGTTTACCTCTTCCTCTCTTTTTCTTGAGCTCTTGGAAACAAACTTTTGTTTTTACAGGAGCATCCGGTGGTCGTCTCATTACGTGCCCAAACCACCTCAATTTATGTTTCCTCATCTTTTTCGCTACCGGTACTACTTCTAACTTTCGTTGAATATCTTCATTTCTTATTTTATCCATCCTCGTATAACCACACACCCACCTTAACATTCTCATTTTTCTACTCCTATTTTATGCTCGTGTTGAAAAATTGATTCTATGCTTACCTCTCTTGGTATTGAAACTCAAAAACTACCCTTGGTAGTTAGGATTCGAGCTCTCTTAATCAAATTCTTTGATGTTTAGTTCTCTTTTGCTGTTAGAGATACAAACTTTTATGCTGATTGGTTGGCTATAAAAGCTTTAGCTAAACCCCCCTCTGGATTTGCAGAAGCTGCTTCTGCCTGCGTCCCCTGCTGTAGTTAGGGAGCCTGATTAGCTTGTGTGCAGTTTCTTGTCTTTTCCCCCCTTCTTTTTTGTTGTTTATCTCCTTCATTGTGCCAAAAAAAGGGTCAAAACAATCAATAAAGCCCGACACAATTAGTAGATGGTTGGGTCCCTTAAGCATGTAGACACGGATTTGTTTCTGGTTATGTGTATGAAAAAGACTTTGTTGGTAGAAGCAAAATTCATTTCGATGATTTCTACGCCTCATAAGGGATACCTTGAGGAAACTAAAAAAAGAATGGTCAAAACAATTTATTAACAAATTAAAAAATAATTGTCCGTTGCCGATTTTCAGTCAGTTGTATAGCGAGTCAAAAATATAATTGGTCTTGAAATTAAACCGGACAAGTTATCGAGTTGATCAGCCGATCCTGTTGATAGGGTAAGCTAGTGTTCTCCCGGGAGAAGATAGTGTTCTCCCGGGAGAACATAGTGTAACCTAATATTCTCCCGGGAGAACATAATTTGTAAATAAAAAAGTTTGTAAATACAACCCTTCCCTATATATATATATTCAGAATAATAAGGCCTGTTTTAAAATAATAAATACCAATAGAAAGGTGTTAAAGAAGCTACACGTCTGATACTCATTATTTTGTCGCAATCAAGGGTTGCATGTAAAGTAACTTCTGGTGGATTATAGGACCCGAGAGCAGGGAGAGGTGAGAGATTTTAATCATCTTCTGAATTATCAGCCTCACAAAGGAAAGGGAAGTTCTATTAGTGAACCATTATCAAAACCTTACCTACCATTTAATCTAGCGGCTGCTGTAGAGAGGAGGTGGCACGGTTTTGTTGATTGATTCTGGCCACTTGGTATTGAGACCATGGTTGCATGTATAATGCGAGGAATGAAGGAGAGAGAAATACAGCTGTCCTTGACTTCATATAAACAAGGATCGAACCTAGAGGAAGGGAGATGAATGTGAATCCTCAGTGTTAACTTCTCACTGCAATACATTTGAGGGAAACCACTGTGTGTGTGTAAATGTCAAACCACATGGCTACTCCTTATCATTAAACATCCTCAACCGTAAACCCAAGAGCTTTCACCAATTTGTGAGCAAGACCTCCACAAAATTCCCTGTCCTCGATCCCTTAAGCCGAATGGAGTAATTAGGAGGAGCAAAGAATGGAGTACTAGGTCTTGAAGAAAAGGGATAACACTTGCATGCAACTTTTGGGAACGAAAAGGAGGAGGAGGAGAGCAATTCAGGACTTTAGGCGGAATCAGCCCTTGCATGTGAGAACCTTACCCTGAATCGGAATTTAAAGACAACAGTGTTGGTAGTTCAAGCGTTGAATTGTAAGGCGGATTTTAGAAGCTAAGCTTGAGCACAAGGATTTCAAGGTAAACCTAGGCAAGCCTTTAATTTTCTCCCTTTAGTATATTCAATTAAGGCCATAGAACCTTAAGGTTATGTGTTAATACGTGCATGATGCTATAAATTAAGATTATGCTATTAGATTTCTTGTGGAATGAATTAAGTGTATTGCATGTAGTATGCATAATTACCTTTGTTACTAGAAGATGAAGTGATGTTATTATAACCTGAACAAGTGCTGTCAAAAAGAACTATAAGCCATAAGCATCTTAAATTCCCAAAAGAATGAATCTTAATGTTGCATAGATAGGTTTGAATGCTGTAATTGAATGAGATGCTGATGATTGTTTCCCTGTTTAGTGTGTGTGTGTGTCTATATATATATATATATATATATATTGTATGAAGGTATGCTAAGAGTATGTGATGATGACATGATGTGCTATGGATGAAGTGAATGACTGAATGTATTGTTGTTGTTATATGTATAATCAATCATCTTGTATCCTTAAAGATGAATTATTACTGTTGTGGCATGAGTATGTTTGCCAAGAAGAGTTATAAGTATTTAGCACATTGAATTCCTAGAGGACAACAAAGCGTGAAGTCAATCTTCACAAGAGAGACCACAAATCCTTGGCCCGGTGAAGAAGAGTAAAGTTCCCCTTTTGGGGCAGATTCAATGAATAAGCTTGCTCAAGTAAGTTGACCAAAGTTCCCCTTTCGAAGCAGATTCAATAAGTAAGCTTGCTCAAGAAAGTTAAGCAAAGCAAAGTTCCCCTTTTGGGGCAGATTCAATGAGGAAGCATGCTCAAGAAAGAGAAACTCAAGGAATTCAATGATGCTGCAGAGAAAGTTCTTTGACATCTTACGAGTAACATAGTAGCATTGTTGCTTTAATGTATGTACCATGATGTTAACTTGTATGCAGGGACTAAATTGAATAGCTATGAGGGAAAGGCCTCAAGCTTCCTATTGTTTACTGAGTTTATACTCACCCATTTTTGGGGCTTCACATGCAGGAAAAGGGAATGACAAAGGCAAGGCCATTGATGGTTCCTTGGACAAGGATAGGGCTGTCCCATTATGCTTGTGGATTTTTATGTGCTAAGAAACTTCTGTCATCTTATATATGCTGAGTTGAGGACAACTTACGTATCTATCTTAGTATGATATGAAAGTATTATCTGTTGTATGTTGATGATGACAGTAAAGCACGGACACGCTCGTCCAAATTTTTTTTGTGTACATGTTCGGACACGCGGTCAACTCTCCAACACGTTTTTCCGACACGCGGTCAACGCTAGGACATGCTCGGACATATTTTTTTTTTTTTTAAATCTTAATTTTATTTTGTTAACTAAATATAAAAGAAATAATTTATAAATTAATTTTTTTCTGTTATGAAATTTGACATGAAAAATTAACAAGTACGAAAAATTATTTATATTTATATTTATGTTATGAAATTTAAATATTTGATTGGTTATATGACTTATTATGGACTCTTATATGTATTAATATATAAATTATATTATATTTATTAAAATTTTTATTTAATATCAAAACTTGTCTCAACGTGTCCAAATATGACATTTTTTAGAATTAACGTGTTGGCGTGTCGTGTCCCGTATCCGTGCCCGTGCATCATAGGATGATGATAATGGGCTGTCAAGTGGCCTAGTGGTGAATGTATCTATTTTGCTAGTAGCCTAATGAACACTTGTGTGTATGTAAAGCCTAGGCCATTATCATGAAATGTACTGATTATGTTATGTTTTCTCAGCCTAAGAAACTCTGTTTTACATTGGTGCAAATGAATGTTGCTATGGTTCTAATTTCAAGAAGTATATTTCCAAAAGGGAAAAGTTTTTTCTTTTTAAATGACACAACTTATATCTTTTCACTCTCACAAAGAAGTGAGATCCACACCTTTATATTATTTTGTCCACTCTCTTTCCTCCTTTATTTATCTCTCTTTCTCACTTAAAATGACATAACTTTACCTCCTTTAAAATGATACAAACTTTTTCCTTTCCAAAAATGTTAGTACCCGCTATTGAATTGAATCCTTGCTTAGAGAGAATTAGATGGCTTTGAAGGAGTGGACTGATGTTTACTTACGCTTAAGATAAACCCCTAAAAATATATTTTGGGAGCACTAATGGGTAGAAGGATAAATTACCTTAAGTTAATGAACTATTGAGCCACGCATATTATGTTAGGCAACCCAAGATCCTATTAACTCGTCATTTGTTTAACTGTGCAATAGGACCCAAATTGTGTAAAGGATTGAGAATTAATCAATCAATTGAAGGTGGCCTAAACTAGGGAAAGTTGGGTCAGTCATAATATAAATTCACAGTCCTAATGACTCGGGAAAGAGTTCAGCGTCACTCCTTAGAAAGCAGATTAGACAGCCATTTTATAAATTCTATAACTTGCTACACCTATCCAAAAATTAAAAGATAGGTGTCAATTAAAAGATAGATGTCATTTTAAAGCTATGAATGTTTACTTTAACGTCCAAATGCCAACATTTATGGATTTACAATGCGCCACCAGTTTTGATTTAAGTACAATCTGCTATGCTAATTCTAGTTTGTCAGAAATTATTTCTTCTAGAATTATCTATGAGTACAGCTGATTATGCAATACAATAAGGAGTAACGACGGGCGTTACAAATAACATTTTACAACATTTTTTGCTTTGGTATTTTCTATGTAATAATGTAAGGACCGATTGATATTCCAAAACATCTGACTGCAATACAAATAAAATTAATTCATCTCTACATACATCTTGCATACGAAGCAACAGCAACATACGAATTAAAATGTCAGTCCTTTGAGGATTAATTTTCACTCGAATAGTTTCAGTTGTTACTATTTGGTTCTGATGGTGTGGTGCGCCCCTCATTTAAGGGCGTAGGCTCTTTTAAATTCGTTTGACAAAGACATTGAATCCAACTAGAATGCCTTTTCTATAGAGAAAAGGAACTAACAGGTGGGAAAATAAATAAATAAAGACAATCAAATTTAATACAATTAAACGCTATAGCAGCGATACACCTCCAGTTCTCAACTCGTTACCAGAAAAAAAGTTCAAATACTGCCTATTGTTCACTACAGAAGACTCGTCAAGTACACTTTATGAAAAGTATCCAATATTCAGATTCGAGAACCAAACATTAAAGGAGTGCACAATGCTAGGACTATTCCAGAATTTTCTCTACTCCTGCAAAAAATGTAATGAAAATTGAAGCATCCCATAAATGATTATAAAGGTGAAAAATATGAGCACTGCATGAGGAGAAGAGAACACAAAAGTACACTATTTTATGGACATGCAACAATTCATAGGCCACCACAAGTGTACTGCTTATTATGTACATTCATTCTTCTCCTTACAGTTCAAATATATTATATTTTAATGGTATATCACGTACTACGTTGTCTGTTATCGTTTTCCCTGAATTTTGACGTGTTATAATCTTATACCTGTCAAATTGCATATCTAAAAGAGTAGTACTATTTGCAAACCAATCAAATGCACACTTTAAACCTTTATGCATACCTCATACTCCCACAATCCCCTCCTTATATCCTATTATTTGAGAATATTCTAGAATAACTCCCTAACTAACTAACTAATTATCTCAGGCCCATCAATAGTTCAATACTCCTCTTCCAAAATTCACCTTGCCCTCAAAGTGAGGGAAGATGACAGGTCATGTGAGAGAGCTTCCACCTGGGTCCCATTGTTTGAAGCACCTTGACCACATTGGCAGCTTTAATTTCTCACCCCTTAACTTCAAGCAATGGCTGGAGATAGGACCCCTTAACTTGGCAAGACCCTCCCCTTCGTTTCCTGTTAAGGCCCTTGTGTTAGCTTTAAAATTTGTTTTGGCAACACCTACGTCAAAGCCCTTCTTTTCACCTTTCTCCCCCTAGCTTGAGGCTCAGTCAATCCAACCATGATGATTTCAGGATGAGTGAAACAAGCAGCCGGTAGATTAAATGGTTCAGCACTTGATTTCTTCCAGTGACTTGTTCCACCATTGAAATTCCTTGTGCGCTGGCAGCATGAGCAAGCATCATCTTGCCATTAGAATCACCAATACAATATACAAGAGGCATCAAATTTCCATGTGCATCAATTACTTGCATGCACTCAACAGGAACAAAACCACGCTGTGTTCCAGCATCAATATTCTCCAATCCGAGACCTTGTGTAAATAGAGCCCTTCCTGTTGCTATCAGTGCAGCATCCACCATACTGAGGACGCTCAACCAAAGAGTTTCGTTGTCCTCCATGCCTTTACTTTCATAGAGCTGCCCTTCCCCTTTAAGCTCAAAGTTGCAGATTCCCACTAACATGGCATGGATGTGCTGGCTATGGAAGACCTAATTTGCTGAAGAAGGTGACTCACATTCGAAGTATAAATCTCTCCGCCCCTTGTTAATAAGCTCCTCTGGCAGCAACCTTCTGAAGCGTGCTCCACCATTATCGTTAAGGCTGCAATTTCTCTCTCTCTTATGGAATGCAGCTACAGACCCTTTTGTTTGAAGGGTTTCATTCACCCAAAGCCCATTTGATGTGCTAATATTGATTAGGACCCGATTTGCTCATTGGTTGGCCCATTACAGGTTTCCTGAATGTTGGGTCTGTTTATCGAATTTTCCTCATGGTCCCATTGTTTCACTTAAGCCCATTTTCCCTAGCACTTTGTGTGCTGAATAATTAACCAGAGAGGGCCACATATCAGAATGGGTACTGACCCAAGATGACAAAGCTGCTCGCGATGGGTATTCAACTCCAGCCCCATATTCGCTTTGGTCTGGTGCAGCTCCACACCTTTCCAGCCCCAATTCGTATTCCTCCATCTTCTGCTTCAATCTCATCTCCTTCCCTAAATCTGCCACTGAGTGCAAATACATTTCTGCCTCGTGATCTTCTTCATCCTCTGCCACTTCTTCTTTTTCCCTAATTTCTTCTTCTATTTCTGAGTTTTGATCTGCCTGAGCGTCTCCATTTCCTCCATCTTCTTTCTTTTCTTTTGTTTTTCTTTCGGAGTTTCGATCTTCTTCTACTTCATCTTCTACGAACCCAGCTGTTTTCTTCTTCGATTTTGTTTTTTTTCCTTCAGTTCTTCGTGTTCCATATCCTTCAACACCTTCGATTTTTGCCTTTTCTTCTTTGCTGATTTCGTCTTCTTCTACACCTATAGTTGCTGCATTTTCGTTTTGTTCTTCTTCACTTTTTTCTCCTTTATTTTCTTCCTCTTTTTTAATTCCTGTTGATCCTTTTTCACACGCCTTTACTTCTACACCTTCCTCTGTATTTTCATCTTTTTTTCTTTCTTCTTCTTTGTTTTGATATGTGTTTGACGTCTCCGATTCTGCCTCCTTCTCTACCACACAAATCTCAGGTATATATATCCCTATAAATGCTCTATCAAAGCTTCGCCAAACTACATGGGAACTAAGCCCACTCCAAAGTTTGTACTAGCTGAGGGCACGACCTTTCAACCCCTTCACAGCCTCTTTCAACATATCAACTTCTTGAATTTGGTTTGCTTGAAAATGTTGTTCAAGCCCAAGCAACCATCCCAACTGAGGAGAGAAGCTGAAAAGCAACTGGAAGAGAAGCTCTCCTTTCCTAACTCAGCTTTTCAGCTGAAAAGCAACTGGAAGAGAAGCTGAAAAACAAAAAAATGAAAAAAAAAACAGTATTTCCCTTCCAGTTGCTTTTCAGACACGATTTTCAGCGATACAGGCACAATTCCCTCTGCTATTTCGCCTGCTTCAAACGCAATCTCTTTCCGGTGCGGTGCGTGGTTTCTAGTGGTGGTCGACAGCAACCCGCGAATGGCGCGGGTAGCACCGCTTTTAACTACTTTGCCCCTCTTTATATCTTGGCTTGAGAATATGAGATAATTGATCAGGCCCATCACCAATTGTAGAATAACTCCCTAACTAACTAATTATCTTAGGCGCATCACCAATTATCTCAGGCCCATCACTAAATCAGTAGTGTTTTTGAAGCCATTGTTGAACGACAGGGAGGTGGAATGTGCGTCCATTGTGCTGTGGGTGGTTGATCAGGAATGTCAAATATAGTGAAATTCCGAGTTTAGTATGGAAGGGCTAAACTCCTGCATGTCCTGAGAGTTGGACATCCCAACTACATTGACTGCTTGGGCAGTTTTCCTAGGTCTCCTCAGTGCTTGAGGGGTTGCCTCCTAGCAGGGATTTTGAGATTCATATCAAGGCAGGCAATGATCCGATCAATGTACAACCCTATATATACGCCCACATACAAAAGAAAGAGATAAGGAAGCTAGTGGTCGAGATGTTGAAACAGGTATACTTCAGCCTAGCATCAGACCCTTCTGAAGCCAAGTAATATTGGTCAAAAAGGACAGTAGTTGGCACTTTTGTGTTGATTACCAAACCCTTAACAAAGCAACAATCCTAGATAAGTTACTCATTCTAGTGATTGAGGAGTTTTTGGATGAGTTGGGTAGGCTGCATTTTTCTCCAAAATAGATTTGCTAAGGATAACATTCCGAAGAAAACCTTTTGTACACATTAGGGTCACTTCGAGTTTCTTGTGATGTCTTTTGGCCTCATCAATGCACCGGTCACATTGCAGAGTGCGTTGAACCATACCGTACAACCCTTCCTTCGAAGATTTGATGAAATTCTCATCATAGTATGGAGTTACACGTGATTTCACGACCCTATTGGTAGGATGAGGAAGTAGTTGCTTACCCAATACTTTAGAAGATTAGAAGGGACTTGATGAAGGATCCCAATTCACATTCGCATTACACCTTAGAGAATGATAAAAATTATTCAAAGGGCTGCCTAGTCTATCCCCGAATGCTACATAGATTCCCAAGTTGTTTCAGGAATTCCATGCCACTCCAACATAGGGCCATTTCGGGATATACCGTATGCATTGGTGCATGGCCCAAAGCTTATACTAAATAGAGCCTTTGTGTATTAGATTGTATATCAGAATATACAGTAAATACAATGATTCTCTCAAAGATTATTAGCTATGATTGAAATAGCGCCACTTTAGCGCGCTGCAGCGCTTCAGTTGCGTGTTGTGGCACCCAACCGCTATTTTTGCACCGCGACGCGATGGTTTCCGATAGCAGTCAGTAGCGGCTTATTGCGGGCTGCAGATCTTGCGACGCTATTGCGTCGCTAAAAGGAAAGGAAGAGAAGTTACAGACATTCAGGAAGAAAAAGAAACGTAAAAAGCACAGGTGGCAGCACTTTGTAAATTTGAGATATAATAGGAAAAGGCCAGAATAAGTGTTAAAAAGCCAGCGATTTTTTTTGGGTAATGTTATCACCTTCCTTTTCTTCATTGATTTTGCTGCCAGCTTTTGGGTAATGTGTCCGTTACAGTGCTTGGTTTGACAAAATTTAATAATACCACCAAATACATAATTAAAAAAAGTAAATAATGGGAAGAAGTCAAGAGAAAAAGCTGTAGGTGATGCTGCAGCTACGATTCAGATTCTTGGGAACTGAGTTTTGACAGCTCCTTCTCTTGGTCCACTGCATCATTACCCCTATTCTCCTCTTTCCAATTTTTATTTATAATCATAATAACAATAATTTCAAGTCCCATTGTTTTTCTGTCCACCAATTCACATTTTAATCAAATATATTTATTTTTAATAATCAAGATTTATATTATATACTTTAAATAAATTATAATTTATTTAAATGACATAAAGTTATGTCATTTTAAGAGAGAGATAGACACAAGAAAATATTTTTTCATTTAAAATTTAAATTAAAAAAAACACACCCACTTTCTCCTCCATGATTTCCATTTCTTGTGTCTATCTCTCTCCTAAAATGACATAACTTATGTCATTTAAAATGACATACATCAAACCCATATATATATATATAATTTAAAAATTTATATTTTATATTAAAATAGAAAATTACAAAATTATTATTGTTGATTTATTCATTAATATTTAGAATTCTCTCACATAAAATAAATCATATTAAATGATATATGAGATAATTGGTCTTTTGAAGTAATAAGAATGACCTTAAAAAAAATGTATTTTGCTGTATTGTTATTAATTTAGTTACTTTCATTGAACTAATTTAGTTACTTTCATCGAACTATATATAGAGCACGCCTTGTACTTTCAGTTAAATCTTTTTCATCAAATAATATCAGAATGGATTTTTCTCTTGCTCTCCTCTTTCTCTCTCACTCTACAACTTCTGATATGGTATCAGAGTAGCAGTAATCAAACCAGTGAAAATCGAAGCGTTCGAAGTAGATCAATAGAGAACAAAGCTCCATCACTCTTCAACTATCAGATCTCGGTGAAACCGACCGAAAAATACTACTTATTTTGGAATCAGATCGTTGAGCCTATCATTACATCTCATTAGCTTCACAAATTTTTGGTAAATCCATAAATTCCATTACAATTTCTAATAGAAGAGGATCGCGAGAATGATGATGTGAATCCAGAGTTTCAAGAATGGCTGATGCAAGATCAAATGATACTAACGTGGTTGCTTTCGACCATATCAGAGTCAGTGGTGAACGAAATCCCAGGAGTAAAGCACTCACATAAGGCTTGGGATCAGATTCACAAGATGTTTCATGGAAAAATGAAATCGAAGACCAGGCAACTCAGATCTGAGCTTCGATTGATCAAGAAAGACGCGAAATCAGTTTCTGAATATCTTTCGAGGATTAAATCTGTGTAACTCATTAAAGGCGATTCGAACTCCTGTTTCGGAAGAAGATCACATAGATTATATTCTTGAAGGTTTGCCTTCAGACTACAATTCCTTTGTTCTCAATGTACAAAGTCGAGAAAAAGCATGTAGCCTTGCTGATCTTGCAGTTGATCTCATGGCCTTCAAACAATTGTTACTGAAGCAAAATGAGAGTCCGATAATAGATCCAGTTTCTGTGAATCTCACTTAGGCACAGAAACGCACTGAACCAGGTGCTTTGTTCACCTCTGTTTCTTCGATCGAAGAACAAAGCATGAACCAGACGAATCAAATGCCTATTTCTCTTCTTCAAGGTTACTCCAATGGTACTAACAGAGGTCATGGAAGATCTGGAGGACGTTCAATAAGCGGAAGAGGACAAGGAACACGTGCAAACGTGTATTGTCAATTATGTTACAAGTTTGGACATGATGTCCATTCTTGTTGGTACAAGATCGAAGAGAACTTTGTTCCAATGTTACCTCTTCCTACTGTATCTTCACAGTTCTTTGAAGCTTCTACACAGCCTTTTCAATTCACTAAACAGCAATCTCAGTTTCATCCTCAATTTTAGCGTCCACAGCAATAGTATCAGTTTCAGTTCCAATACCTTCGTCCATCTGTTGATGCTTCTATTCCACAAGCTATGGTTGCTACTCAGCACCAAGGTCTTCTTCCTACACCTGTTACACAACCAGCACTTGATTGGTAATCCTGATTCTGGAGCCAGTCACCATGTAACAGCAAGCCCAATGAACCTATTACAGAGCCAACAACTATCTAGAGCTGACCAAGTCATCATTGGAAATGGCCAAGGTTTGCCCATTCATGCTATTGGTCATTCAAAGTTTTTGTCACCTTTAGATGCCAAAACTAAATTGTCAGTTAAAAATCTTCTTCATGTTCCTTCCATTATGAAGAATCTGTTGAGTGTCAGTGCCTTTGCACGTGATAATAATGTTTTCTTTGAGTTTCACCCCACTAAATGCTTTGTTAAATCACAGGGGTCCCATAAAGTTCTTCTAGAAGGCAAATTGGGTCAAGATGGACTTTATTGCTTTCCCAGCACTGTTTTCCCTTCAGCATCTCACTCCTCTTCATTGGTGTCAGTCTGTAATGTTGTTCAGTCTTCTGGTTGTACTAATACAAATTCAGATTTGTATAATTCATCAAATGTAATTTCTGATTCAGCCTATTCTCTTTGGCATTGTCGTCTTTGACATCCTAGTCATGTAGCACTTAAAAATGTAATCAATACTTGTAAGATACCTTTGAGTAATAAAACATGTTTTGATTTCTGTTCCTCTTGTTGTATTGGGAAATCCCATAGACTTCCATCTTATCCTTCTTCAACTGTTTATCATTCACCCTTTGAATTGATTTTCAGTGATTTGTGGGGTCCATCCCCAATAAAATCAACTTTAGGCAACTCTTAATACATATCCTTCGTGGATGCTTACACAAGATACACTTGGTTGTACCCCATTAAACTGAAATCTGATGTGCTTTCCATATTACTGATTGGGTGGAGAGTTTCGTCCCTTTACTCAATATCTGAACCTTAATGGTATCATTCATAGATTAGCTTGCCCTCACACTCACCATTAGAATGGAGTTGCGTTGTTAAGAGAAAACACAAACATGTTGTAGAAACTGGACTTAACTTACTCTTTCACATGCATCTTTACCTATGCAGTTTTGGGATTTTGCTTTTGTTTCAGCCACTTACCTTATTAACCGATTACCAACATCCTCATTGAACTTTGAAATTCCTTACACTAAACTTTACAAACTTCCACCTGATTATAAATTCTTAAAAATCTTTGGATGTGCTTGTTTCCCTTTTCTTAGACCCTACAATAAACACAAATTACAATTTCGATCTCAAGAGTGTGTCTTCCTAGGCTACTCTTCAAGTCTTAAAGGCTATCTTTGTTACAGGAAGGATGGAAGGATTTTTGTCTCTAAAGATGTAATATTCAATGAACATTTATTTCCTTACGCCTCTTGGTCTTCAGCCACCAGTATACAGCTGATTAGGCGTATTTAGCTCCCACACCTACTGCAGTTCCTTCCTCCTCCAACTCGGATCATGCTAGTCAACACTCTTCTCTTCCCATACTCTTGTTTCCACTTCACCTTCTTCCAGCACCAGTAATTCTAATTCTGAGTCATCCATTCAACCAAGTAATTCCCCAAATTCTCAACCGACTCCAGTTCTTCTACTACACATGTTAATTCTCCAAGCTCTTCTAATGCAGCTCAATAGCATAATGACTCTTCAGACCAGTCAGTTTGAAGCTCTTCCTCTCCTTCTTTTTAAGCCTCCGAGTATATACCTTCCTCTTCTGTTCACTTGCAGTCTCCCACTCATTCTGTTCAAACCAGATCCAAATCCTTGGTCAGATCTCTAGCTCTCCTTACTCATATGGAGCCTTCCTCTGTTAAATAGGCCCTTGCTAGTCCTCCTAGGCTGGCAGCCATGCAAACTAAATATAAAGCATTATTGGCTAACAATACTTGGACCTTGGTTGATTTACCCCCTAACAGGAAAGCTATAGGTTGTAAATGGGTGTTCAGAGTTAAGGAAAATCCAGATGGGACAGTTAACAAGTACAAAGCAAGGTTAGTTGCCAAAGGATTTCATCAAGAAGCTGGGTTTGATTATACTGAGACATTTAGCCCTGTAGTCAGACCTGTTACTGTCAGGTTAATGCTAACTTTGGCCTTAACAAATGGCTGGAATTTAAGACAAGTTGATGTAAATAATGCCTTTCTTAATAGAGATTTGGAAGAGGAGGTTTTTATGGTACAAGCACCTGGTTTTGAGCTTGCCAATAAGCATCAGGTCTGCAGGTTGAACAAAGCTCTTTATGGGCTAAAACAATCCCCTAGAGCTTGCCAATAAGCATCAGGTCTGCAGGTTGAACAAAGCTCTTTATGGGCTAAAACAATCCCCTAGAGCTTAGTTTGATAAGATGAAAAAGTCACTGATCTATTTTGGGTTTGTATCTAGTTGTTGTGACCCATCTCTTTTCATTCTTCAAGCTGCCTCAGGAAGCATATACATACTTGTATATCTTGATGACATCATAATCACAGGAACTGATCCTGCCTTTATTCAACATTTGATCTCATAACTCAATTCAGAGTTTGCTTTAAAAGATTTGGGAGATTTGGATTTCTTTCTTGGCATTGAAGTCATAAGACATATTTCGGGTGGTTTGTCCTTATGCCAATCTAAATACATCAATGATTTGTTAACTAATGCAGCCATGCATGAAGCTAAGAGTATTTCTTCTCCAATGTCCACGGGCTATAAGCTTTCCAAATGTGGTTCTAATTACTTCAGCGACCCTCATCACTATCGTTCTATAGTTGGTGCATTGCAATATGCAACAATTACTAGACCAGAAATTAGTTATGCTGTCAACAAGGTTTGTAAGTTTATGGCTCAACCTCTTGAAGATCATTGGTTGGTGGTCAAACGTGTCCTTCGGTATCTTAAGGGTACCCTTTCTTTTGAGTTATCCGAAAGGAACTCTTAGTCTCTCATATTCCAGCAACTGATCAAGTTGCTGACACCCTCACCAAGCCTCTTTCCCCTGTTCGTTTTGCAGAATTGCGCAGCAAACTCAGAGTGTTGGATTCACAACACTGCTGAGTTTGAGGGAAGGTATTAGAGTATATTGTGTATGTATTGTAAGCTTTAGATTGGTTTATTTTAGTCTGATGTAGTTAGCTTATTGTGCTTCTGGTTGTATAGGATTTATCCTTCCCTTTCTGTTTGTAGTTTTTTGATCTGTTAGAGACTTAGTTAGTCGTGAGTGGACCTCTGTAATGGGCCTCTGTATGGGCCTTGTGCTCTATATATATAGAGCACCGCTTGTACTTTCAGTTAAGTCCTTTTCATCAAATAATATCAGAATGGATTTTTCTCTCTCTCTCTCACTCTACAACTTCTGATAAAGATCTATTCTCTCTCTCTCTCTCTCTCCCCTTCTTACCAAACTCTGATAAGAGTCCACGTACTGGCTGGTAATTAAGATGCAAACACGTTCATTTAGATACATTTTAAGATAATTAAAATTATAACAAAACAATGGTTGTGTACATGGACAGCAGCTGCTTACATGTTCAGAAAAGATGTTCCAAGGAAGGCAGAGTTATAGTATAATAGATAAATACATGAACTTAACAGAATAGAATAAATACATATCATGGAGGAATAATGATTTGTCACAACGGTGCAAAAGTAAAGCTTGATAGACACATGACAAAGTGGACTTATACCTGTTCCATTGGAGCAGAATCAGTATCATTAGATTCATCATCAGCTTGACCTTTAGCATCATGCACCACGTCCTCATGTTTTTCGTTAACATTGTCCAACATTATATTTTCATTCAAGCCTTTTACATCTGCAGGAAGCTGGCCGGACTTCAGTGCCTGTTACCACGTACCACGATTAGATGTACCACATTATTATCAGTCTTTTTATGATAATAAGAAATTTAAATTTGAAAGACACGAGAATTTCAGGTTAGAAGATAAGGTATCATTAAGTAAGAAAACAACCAGAAAAAAATATCATAACAAGATTTTTAAGACACCAAATTATAGCAAGAATCTCAAAACAGTTTCCCTCCTTTTTTTCCCAAACCACCAGAGATAACCAAGAGGAACTCCTCAATCTATGACAAACCATATCTCATCCTCCCCACATGGCAAACAATCCAGTCTAAATACTCTAAGTCAGCAATGCTGACAGAAAACCTGAGTGTTTCTGAGCTCCAATGACACATGAGAAATTTTTTGCGAGAGCCTCCTATTGGATCATCTCTCTTACAACAGGTCATTAGTAAAAAACACTAATTTTAATATTATGTTAAGCATGAGTATGAAAACAAAATTTAAAATTCAGGAGACTATCCAAATTAGAAAAGCAAGCACCTTTTCAAGTCTAGCAACCTCTTCAAGAGTCTGTGAACTCACAATGGCAGCCTGCACACAGCAGAATTATGTGAAACCATAGGTAACAACAGTTAGCATCTTGATGTACCAGCCTCTAAGAGATGGTAACTCTATAATTCATGAAGATGGACATTTGCTATAATTCAGAATGGATGCAATTTCTTAGTTCGAGATAATATCACATTAGAAAATGAATTACATTTTCAAAATGAGGCACTCTCAAATGCAGTTAATTTTAAAGCTCCTGATATGTATTTGAGTCGGGGCCTCGTTAATTTAATTAATAGAAACTATACTTCGACATCCATAGCATTTACATGCAAGAAACAGAGCAGGGATGACTGGACAAAAGCCTACCTCTACCATGTTTAATGAATTACTAAGATTCTATTCATCTGACAAATAAAAATTAAAGCAGCAGATATTCAGAAGCAGAACAACAGTACTCCAGGTCAAGTTTTGCGTTTGGACAATATTTTTTAATAGGACTTATGCAAATGACATGTTGCATATTTGTACTATCATAAAAAATTCTAGTTTCGTTTTTGTACTGTAAGGGGACTACTTTTTTAATGGTTTGCTGTAAAGTTGTGGATAAAAACAAGTACGAAATCTTCTCATCTACAATTTTTTGCAAGGTAAATCAAATGTATAAGGGAGGATGCATTTATTACAGATCTGAATTGAACTTGATGTTTATGTCACATGGTCACCCTTATAGTGATAAGCCTAAAATAAATTGATATATTCACTTTTTATTATACCTTAATAGCAATAATTTGCTCTGGTGTGGGGGCCACCACTTTGGGCGTCTGTTGTTCCTCAGTAACTTCTGAAACATTTGGAGTTTCACTGGGTGAAAATGTTTTCGCTGGTGTTCTTTGAACTTCTTCTATAACTTCTTTTGTAGCAAACAGGTTTTTGGCCTCCAACCGTTCCTATTAATTTTAAAAAACTATCATAAGATGGCCATTTCATTGAAGACGTATGCGTAATTGATAATAAGAAATAGATCCAATAATATACCATCATTCTCCTTTTATTTTGAACATTGCAATCTCTAGTAATGTTATGAAACAAACTCATTATGCATCCACAGATGATTTTAAGACATAAAACATTTACTATGTACATTTCCACACTTGGTCTTGGTGATGAAAAAGATAAGTATGGGTAATGAAAAAGAAACCTTACCTTATTTTTCACTTTTTTGAAATCTAAAACCCGAAGAGACTTCAGTTTGTAAACAACATAAAGCCTGTAATTCGCTTTCTTTGTAATATTGTTGTCAAGAAGACTAAGGAACTGCAGTTTTGGGAGGGATGCTAAAGGATCAATTTCTACTAAGTTTACAATCCTGTTGTTTGTGAGAACTAGCGTGTGTAATTTTGGCAAGAACTCTGCAATACAAATGACATAGTAAGCTAGAGCAACATATTGTGTTGCTTACAACTAGAAGAAAAGAGGTAGGTAACACAATGTATCGAAGTGAGAGGATGAGATACAGAGTTCAAAGATCAAATGGTACCTCCAATGTTGGGGTTAATTCTAGTAATTCTATTGTTATTCATGAGTAGTGTACCCAACCGGTTAAGATATGGGAGGTTTTCCAGTTTGACAATCTCATTGTCAGACAAATCTATGGTGTCAAATTGGTCCTGCAAGAAATCCATTACAAAGGAACT